CATTTTATTTTAATTACACATCGAATTTTTTACGATTTAACATTGCTCATTGGCGTTACTATAATTTAAGGCTTTACCTTATCAAAACATGTCGCATTTAAACAAGTAGTCATCTGCTTCATACACCCAACAATTAATGAATTCTTTTTTAAAAGTCAGTTACATTTTCTTTGGGAAGAGGGTAAGTATTTCAAATGAACTACGTAAGTATGTAATCTACACTTTGTTCTGTCCACACTTTCGTATAAAACTGAGCGCTTGGCCTTGTTGTACTTTTAGTATATTTTCAGCGTTCGAGCAGTTATTAAGAAATTAAATTTCGAAATACAAATTACACACCGTTAGCAAAAATAAAAACACGCATTGCAAAACTCATTATGCCCACAAAATCAGTGCAAAAGTGGATGTCCGATGAAATGGAGCGGTTATCAATTAAATTTGCGCGCTATAAGCCCAGCTGTAATGGCTATAATCGCATACAGCCAGTGCTGTTGTCGCGTAGTGTCACCCAAATGTTGAACAATCCATTGCCAGTTGAAGATCAAATAGGCACCACTATGATGACGAGCCAACAGCTACAACAACAGCGGACAGATAAACAGAAACAGCAGCCGCACCAGCAGCAGCAAGGATATGTGCGTCCTAAAGGTGTGCTAAGTCGCCCCGAAGCCGAATGGGAGGAAGTTTATCCCACTGTGCAATTCGGTAGAAGCGAGTGTCGTGAGCCGGAGGGGAAGGCGGTGGAGCGAAAATTTACATACTATCGGAATTGTTCAACGAGAATAAGTTAGATGGCAGCAAAATTGGTGTAGTTTAATCTACATTTCGGTACATCTTGAGAGCAATGCGTTTTTAGCACTGCCACACATTGAAGAGTCCTAGCAATGCGTAAGAAGTGCGTATTTATGTACGAGTAGTATTAGTTTTTGCAACTGTAGAATTTTTGCAAATAGAATAGTTTTATGTTTAGATGTTAAAAATTGTTGAGTTTGATTTTGTGTTTGTGTTTTGAATAAAAGAAAAAAATATTAAATATCGAAGTAAAAGTGCTTCTCTATTTTTATGAAAAAATAACTTGTGTTTTGTTGAAACTAAATTTTGCCAGCATACTGTCGTGTTTTCATAATCACTAAAATCCGTTTTTTGCAACAACAAATAATTTATAACAAAAAATTTGAATGTGGAGTTTCCACTGGGCATTCAATAACAAATATTTTTTTTGTCAAAGTTGGGCAATACAAAATATTCATGTGATGACGTTAATAAGGTAGTAACAGCATACAAATCCCTCAATAATGTTGAATAGTGCTGAGGCGACAGTCCTTTGATCTGGATCGTTCCAGTAGCGTACATATGTATGTATACTAGGGTGATGCAAAAAAAATAAAGTCAAAATTATAATGCTCTCACCCCATCGATTTGTTCTACATCGAAAAATATACCCTTATTTTTTAATATTGAAATCAAAAATCGATCAAAGTTGCTCATGTATTTTGTATGGGAAAAAACAACTTTCCGTAGAAATGGTATAGAATTCTTGAAAATCAATATTTTTCGATCGCAAAACTCTGGTGCTGTTGAGGAGACTTCCAATAATAATGCCCAATTGTTTATTTAACCATTATTTAATACTAAAGATTTTTTATTTATCCCTTATTGTATTTTCTGGCATTTTCTGGGTGTTTGGGCGGAGCTATGAAATATAGTTACTATAAAAAACAAATTGTTTAATAAATAATTGGGTATTATTTTGGGCAATATACGGAAGAGAAACTCAGTTTTCCGATCCAAAAATATTGATTTTTAAGAATTATATACCGTTCCTACGAAAAGTGTTTTTTTCATATTAAATGCATAGAAACCTTTGAGTGCTTTGAGGAAACCCCCGAATATTTTTTGATTTCAAAATGAAAAATAGGGGTTTATTTTCCTAGAGGGTGAGAGCATAAAAATTCCGACTTTACATTTTCACGTTCATTTTTGGATTACCTTAATTTAGACCCAACTCTCGAGAGAACATTTATATAATAGTGATTAAGTTCCAAATTCTAGTAAATGTTTTTTCTATGGGAGTGTTATACCAGATTTTCACTGAGCGCTAATGTTTCCATATTTCATTTATACAATTTTTTTATTCTGCCCTATTACGATTGTCGACGTCGATGTCATTTCTTCGTAAAAAAATAGCGCTCGCAAGTCCAACGCCAGCTACGGAGTTGGACTGATGAGGGCTATTTCTTGACGAAAAAATTACATCGACGTTGACAACCATAATAGTGCCGATTATTTTTGTTATCTCAATGCCCAGTGGAAATCCAGCATAAGTTTAGTCGAAATTGCAGTGACAAATTTAACGACAACACGTTCTCGAGAAAGGTGTTTTAAAATACTGCTTGAAATCAAAGAACCCTTCAACAGGAAGCTTTTTATGACAACGTATTCAAAAAGATTTGACCACCATGCAGAAAATGGTAATAATGGTTTGTAATTTATGGAGGTCCATACCAAAACGTTACAGTACAAATATTTAAAAAAAAATTACCTTTAATTTAAATCAGTTCTATTTACTGGTTTCCATCGAAATTTTAAACGAAGGCACGAAAAAATTCTACTTAACTGCCGTTAATTCGCTTTAAAATCAGCTCTATCGCACCAAAACATAACAATTATGAAA